AAAAAAAAAAAAAAAAAAAAAAAAACTCGGATGAATTTGGGCGCTTCCGCAGTGGCCCGCAAGTTTCCTAAAATCGTGGCGCGTTAACGGGCACGACCTTAGGAAGTACTGATGGTTAACTTTTAAGATTCCAAACACACCGCAGACTGTTGTTTCTGAACGTCTGGGCAACTAAGGGATTCCAGAAATTTGGAGCCATGACAATCCAGCAGGTGCCGCTCCCCATCAATCGATTGGAGTTTTCTTGAATTAAAAAAAAAAAAAAAAAAAAAGAGAGACTGGAGCATATCACTCGGTGAGGGAGTTGGGTAAACCACGGGGCTAGTTCGGTAAATGAAAAGGTTGCTGCAGTGGCACTCCAGCAGTTCAGTACATTGAAGAGCAGGATGCATTATTGACATCACATCACCAAATAACAAGAAATTGGGGATACAAAGGGCCAGGCTCCATTGGTGCTAGCCTGCTAGGGATAGAGGAGAGGAGGGAAGAACGGTCGGAGGAGGAAGCGGAAGGAGAAAGCGCGAGAAAGAAGGGAAGGAGGAAGAAAGAGAAGAGGAGAGGGGAGTGAGGGAGGGGGACTTGAGAAAGTTGAGAGGGAGGGATGGAAGGAGCGAAAGAGGGAGGCAAGGAGAGAGAGGGAGGGAGGAAGTGAGGGAGGGGGACTTTAGAAAGTTGAAGAGGGAGGGAGGGAAGGAGCGAAAGAGGGAGGCAAGGAGGGAGAGGGAGGGAGGAAGGAAGGAAGAGAAAGACGGATGCAGGGAGAGAGAGAACAGGGGGGAAAGGAGAAAGAGGAGGGAAGGAACGGGGGTCAAAGGGGAAAGAGCAGACAGGAGGGAGAGGGAGGAATAAGGAAGGGAAGCTTGTATCACCCTCCCCCCCCCTTTCTAGTAGACAGCCAAGGCTCCCCCAACCCCCCCCCAAAAAAAAACACAAAAAAAAAAAGGAAGGAAGGAAAGGAATAGAGGGAGGGGGATGGGAGAGAGGCGAGTGAGGGAGGGACAGGGGTAGGGAGTGAAGAAAGAAGATATAACAAGGGAGGAAGCTAGAAGGGAAGGACTCAAAAAAAGGATACTCAAGCAGTTCACTTTGTGAAGGAACAATGTAATCCCGCTGAATGTTGTGATCACCTCCACAAAAAAACACACAATCGAGAAGGTGGACAGGACCACAATGCTGCACAGGTTGTCAATTCGATTCGATTCGATTCGATTCGAGAGAGGACGTAGGACGTAGGACGTGAAAAAGCCATGCTCTGAAAACGATGCGATGGTGAGCTGCAGATACAAGGAGTACACACATGCCAATTCATAATGGTTAAGGTGTACAAACTTCAAAGTACTACAAACAAAAAAGGGGAGGGCCCGGGACAGGTAGAGTGGTCAGGAGGAGAAGTCTTAGAGATGGAAGAACCTCTTAGGAGGAGCATTCACCTCAGCTTCAGGGATTGGTTTGCGCTGCAGCCAGGAGCTTTTTCCCTCAGATCTCCAGAGTGCTTTGCATGCAGATCCCTCTCCTCCTTCACAACTTGCGCGGGTGTCGCACCCAGCCCATGTGCCTCCCTGTGTCGTACACAGGCACTTACAGGCACTTTGGAATGGAGTGCATTCCAAAGGGCGGAAGGCTTTCTATGGGGGAGTATCTTTGTCTTTCCCTTTCCGTTGTCATGCATAGGCAGTCTTCACGGGCTGTCTCTTCTCTCTTCTCTTTACAGTACAATTTTTTTTTTTTTTTTTTTTTTTTTTTTTTTTTTGGTTGTTTGGTTGTTTTTTTTTTTTTTTTTTTTATAAGGGGGGGGGGGGGGGGGGGGGAGGTCTCCGTCTATTGGTGGGGAGCAGACAGTTTTAGTTTCAGTACAGTTTTCAGTAGAGTCACAGAAACGAGTTGGTAATTGCACTATGGGGAAAGATCCAGTTTGCAATTGCAGTTCAGGCACCCTACCTGGCCAGAAAGCTGGGTTGTATACATTGTGCGAACTGCAATTGCAAACTGTATCTTGGCCCATACTGCAATTATAACTCGTTTTTTTCGTGACTCCCACGTAGTTTCCCCTTTTTTTTTCTTTACTCGAAGGAGGAAAACGATGTGCGTACGCACGATAGTTTCTCCACGGCAGGGATGCAACCCTGAGCCCGACCGTTTCCAAGCAACGACATCTTACTGCCTACCAGCCATCAGACAGAGATCGTAGCTCATACACCTTCGAAGACCCCGATAAAATGGAAGAAGAAGTGGATGTAGAAAAGAATAGAAAACGAGGAAGAAGAAGAAGAAGAAGAAGAAGAAGAAGAAGAAGAAGACACAAAGAAGAAGACACAAAGAAGGCGGAGGACGATGAGGAGGAGGAGAAGAGGAAGAAGAAGAAGAAGAAGAAGAAGAAGAAGAAGAAGAAGAAGAAGACACAAAGAAGAAAACACAAAGGAGGAGGAGAATGAGGAGGAGGAGAAGAGGATGAAGACGAAGAAGAAGAAGTTTTTGTTTTCGTTGTTTTCTCCAAATCCAGTTTGTATAGGGGACGCTGGACCCGTTTTCCAGCAGGTGATGCTCCCCACCAATAGATGGAGCCTCTCCCCAGGTGCTAGTGGTGTCTGCTCTTATCAGCACCACTAAGACTGGCGGGCGTTTCAAAAAAAAAAAAAAAAAAAAAGAGCTTTCCCCGGATATTAGTGACAACGTATCAGCACCAGCGTGACAAGAAAATGGCAGCAGGAGAAGTAATAGATATAGAGCACCAAGGGACAGGGGCAGAAAACTAGGACAGTACAGAATAGCACGAAGAGTTCCAACTCATGACCATCCTGAGTCACTGATTACAGAACAACGTGTGTTTGGGACATCATGCCCCGCCGTACACGGACGGCCTCGAACCGGCACCCTCCTGTACAGAAGCGAAGTATCGTAACCACTACAACCCTTGGAGGTGTTATAAAAACTGCATCCATACTGGTCATGATATGCAGCCCACCTCCAGGGCTGTAGCGTCCTTGAACTCACACCACACACACACGCACACTACAGCCCTGAACTCACACCACACACACACGCACACCACACCACGGACTCGAACAATCCACACACACTCCGCTTGGACAACACGCAGCTCACCACCGCTACTTTATCCCGCTCACACACAAGGGCCAACTGCCCGGGGGTTCACGGGCGCCTTCACAGTGATTACTGAACAACGTGTGTTTGGGACATCATGCCCCGCCGTACACGGACGGCCTCGAACCGGCACCCTCCTGTACAGAAGCGAAGTATCGTAACCATTACAACCCTTGGAGGTGTTATAAAAACTGCATCCATACTGGTCGTGATATGCAGCCCACCTCCAGGGCTGTAGCGTCCTTGAACTCACACACCACTGAGTCTATATGCAGAGATGCAGAAAAGCAGATCAATCGCCATTTTCGGGGCCTATCCAGAAGCACGTCCAACCCCAACCCCCCCCCCCCAAAAAAAAAAAAAAAACTAGCACGAGTAAACACTCCATCAGCAAAAAGATACAATGGCGTGGCCACACGGCACAGAAAACGGAAAACGAAAAGAGTGCATTTCCACCAGAAAATGGACAGGTTTATCCGTTTGCCATGAATAGTAACGAGTGTATTTTACGACCTTTCACGGGCAGATGCGCTCGTTTCATTTTTGCTTCGTGTGCCGTCTGGCGAGGCCCACACACACACACACACACACACACA